TTATTTGAAGTCCATCAAATAAACAGGATTGCTGGATAGTATTTGAATTCTAATAATTTTTCTACAAATTATATTAGCCTGAAATTTGTAAGTGTGTGCATCTTGGTTAGGTGGAACTGAATAAAATATAAAAAATAATCTACTTAATAAAACAAACAAAAATATTCTTATGAATATTTTAGAGGTATTTTTATCATTTTATTTTTTAGAATGATTTTTTAAATACTTTATTTAGGTGCCAGTTGATTAGATATACACACGCTGTAAATTTTAGATGATATGATTGGTAAAAACAATTATTAAAATTCAAACGTTATCAGACAACTATGACCATATGATGAACTTTGGATAATTATGAAAAATAAGCAAAATATTGTAGAAATTCACTTATAAATGTTCGTAAGTGTTTTTCTATTTACAAGCTTAGAAGGTTACGACTACAAAGCTTCTTATGATAAAGTGCCCTTATATTTTCCAAAATAACTTAACTATAAAGAGTTCATGTATTTTAGAAAGACAAATTTATATAAGGTCGCAAAAGGTGTTTCGTAAAAATCTAATAGTAAAGAGCATTATGAAGTTGGAAACCCTTATAATTGGTCACCTCGACTTTTAGATGTATAGACATAAAGAAGTCTTAATATTCGTGCATTTTGTAATAAATTATCTAAATGGAGTCTATTTGCACGATTTTTAAGCAATTACATATATGGTCAATTTGTACTGTTTTTAGAATTGGGTGCAGTTTGTATAAAGCTAAGGCTCTAAACAATGCAAATAAAGCGTGTGAAAATTATAGAAACCTGACTTATTTTTTGGTACAATATAAGTGTACACATATTAAGAATGTAGTTCATTACATATGTTTCTTTAATAGTACACAACTTTGTAACCCTATAAATTGTAGTTTTTATTCACATCGATAAGCATACTTATACATCTTCCATGGGGGCTTAAGGCTCAAAGATACTTAAATACAGTTTCTAATATTGTATCAGAGCCATACCATTGAAATGTCTGAAATTCCTTACACTCCAAGCCTGACTACTGCCTTATCACAATATTCAATGTCAGAGGTTCTTTCTAGGCTTTTTTCTTTTCTTTTTTTTCTTTTTTCTTTTTTCTTTTTTTTTTTGAGTCTAGGCAAACTAAGGCTTTTGCAGCCATGGTGGAGAAAAGCAAGGGCAGGAAGGAGAAGGTGGTGACCACAGATGTTAGGGTGGATGTTAAGCTCAACAAGCACAGTGGAATTCGTGGTGTGCCCAGAAGAGTGCGGGATCGTATGGCTCGTAAGAGAAGGATGAGGAGGATGCAAAAGAGGAGCTCTTCTCTTGTCACTGTTGCCGAGATCCCACCAGAGGTATTGAAACGTCTTGGCATAGCAGTCATCGATGAGGCAGATTAAGTACCCTCTCTCTAGTTTAAATCCTACTCTCTTTTCGTTCCCAGCATAAAGACAAATAGTTTGGTTTCTTTTGCTCTTGCTATTCTTCAATTTCATAGTCTGTCTCGGTGTGATTTATATATGGATGAAAATTTTGGGTTGTTTATGTCTCTCTCTTGCCCCAAATCAGAGTTTTGATTTGGTATTTTGTCTCTCAAGCATCAAGCCTCTGTATTCAGTTTTTTTTATCGGTGAAGCTCTCAATCTGATTGCGCATCTCTGTTCATCTGGTATCAAAACCAAGGTAAACCATTGTTGTCATACTCCCCTCTGATGCTGAACCTTTGGTGAGCTGGATCTGAAACCTGTCTCTAAATCCACTATAGAAAATAGCCTCTAAAACGGCCGATCTGCACTATCTACAAAACAACATATGTCTCTCTGTTGAGTCGTGTTTCGACTCGTCTCCAAATCCAACGTAGAAAATGGCCTCTAAAAATGACCGCTCTGCACCATCTGCAAAACAACATACGTCTCTCTGCTGAGTCGTGTTTCGACTCTCTGATTTATTTTAGATTTTATTGTTCTCAACTCTGAATCTAAGGTCCTACTGTACTTGTTGATCCGTTGGTGATTTTTGTTGACTCTTCCATGTGCCTGCTATTTGATGATAGAATTTTCCAATCCTGGTTGATGAACAAGTTTTTTGTTATTTGATCATGTGTAATGATTGAGTTTACTGTTACTCAATCCTATAGGATGATGGAGTCTTCCGTTACTCCATCCTATGTGATGATCGGGTTTTTTCGTTACTCGATCATGTCTGTTCCAGAGTCCTGATGATTTGATGTTATGCACGAGTACTTTGTTCGAGACGTCGGTTTCTGATGATTTTTAATTTGCAACTGCTCAAGCTTCTTTTGTTCTTGATTTGTTTCTAACGTTGTACAAACTTAAGTTGCTCTCTTTTAACTCATTTTGAGTTTAAGGAGTGTGAAAATTATAGAAACTTGCACTTATTTTTTGATACAATATTTTCTTTTCTTTTATGTGTATCTATATTAAAAAAATGGATCATATGAATCTTATGCTATTGCTTGCCTTCCTTTGTCCAAACTTGAATTGTTCTCTCTTAACGCATCTTGAATTTAAAACTCATCTTGAGTTTAAGGAGTTGGAAATTATAGAAAACTGCACTTATTTTTTGATACAACATTTTCTTTCTTTTTATGTGTACCCATATTAAGAATGTAATTCATTGATTCTTTAATAGTACACAACTTTGTAACCCTATAAATTGAAGTTCTTGACCACACCTTTGATAAATTGAATAATGCATCTTCCAAGAGCTTAAAGCCCAAAGATTCCGAAATACATTTTCTAACAAAATGCACCTTCAAATAGTGTCAAGAAATGTAGTTTCAATATTTTGGAAATCTTTGTGATAACCTAAAATATATTTCATATTTAATTATAAAATTTAAAGCTTCAAAATTTACATAAATCGAGCAGATCTTTGAAAACTTGAAAATATTGCAAGATGCACTATTTCCAAAACATGAAATCCATTTTTTTTCTCATGTCCATGCATATTAATGTCGAGATGATCAATTTGAAGATATTAGGACATCAAAACAACCTCTTCTAGTGAAATTTGTGAGGCAGGCTCTAATTTGATTGTTGAGATCGTCGGCTCTATATTAACTTTTCCTTTAGAATTTGAAATTTCATAATTAGACTTGAACATGGATTTTCAAGTCATCATAAAGTTTTCAAGTCATCATAAAGTTTCGGACACTATCCTTACAAACTTTTGACAAAGTTTAGAAGTGCACCTTACTTGTGCAAAGTTTAGAAGTGCACCTTACTTGTGCAGTATAACATTGACACCTTAAATAAACCTCACCCATTTAGAAAGGGTATTTTCATCCTTTCAAAATCCATCTAAAGCTCAATTTCAAATTTAGAAAAGTAATTCTTACCACTTCATTTCGGTTCTGCATATATATAGGAAAACGGTTAAATTAAGAAGGAAATTGGCGTTTCCGCACAGTAAAATGATAATTCTCTACAATAAAACAGCAATCCAGACCGCCGATTCACCAACCAAAATACCCCTAAAACACTTTCTACATAAAAGCTACAAAATAAAGTGCAAACCTATTTCTAAGACATTGGACATACTAGGTTCAATCAGAACCATGGAAGGGTGTGCTTGTGCACCCTTCAAGCATTAACATAAACACAAAAAATCGTTTGCTAGTATTGGCTTTTGATTTCGTGCAACTAAATTTTGCAAGTTTTACATAATAGAATGAAATTACAAAGCTCATGTCTTGAATAGAATGAAATTTCAGGCAATATATCTTACAGATCACTCGAACAGCAAAAATACAAATCCAAAGTTGCATCCAAATATTATTCCTTTACCTGTTCTCCAAAAAACATATCTCCCAGAAGATTCACCGACGAAAAACAAATCATTTCCAAGATTTGAGTCTCCAGAAAGCCATATGGGCCTCAGGAAATGATCCTCCAAAAAGCTAAACATGCACTCACAGAGAGAATTGGGGATGGATGAATAAGTGGAGAGAGAAAGGAGGGGGTGGATGTTGTGAAGAAAGGAAGACATTTGTGCATGTTTTTAATCTTTGTGAAAATCCTACAATGCTGATATGCATTTTGAAAAGTAATGAAGATTCATTTTCATTTGCAGCAACATAAAGTGTAAGCCAACCAAGAATTTACTCGTCTCTTATACAAGCCAACCAAGAATATCAACTCTCTATCCCTCTCTATCCTAACCACAAGAGTGTACTCTCTTGCACAGAAGCCAACTCTGAATACTCTCTCTATCACACATGCAGAAAGAGAATGAAAGAAAAATAGGAATACTGTTTCGGTGTCTAAAGGAACTCTATAAAAAGCACCGGTTTAAAAAGATTTGTAGGAGCGAAATGTTGCATCAGGAATATTATTTTAACCTGAAGCAAGAGCCATTTGATCAGGAACAGCCATCATTTAAATAGTTCAGATTGTAAACCATCATCCTCATCGAGAATTGCAGTAACAGCTGCTCCCACCAACCTGAGATATTCGAAGTCATATTTTGTCAATATTGCAATCAATTGAGGAAGAATAAGCACATGTGGATGATGGAGAGAAAATAAAATAGAGTTAACAGTGTGCACGCATCCGCACACAGCCAGAATACGAAGACAGAAAATGAAATGCATCAAATGACACGCACACACGGACACACATATATATAGCCAAAATATTATATGCTCCCGACAAGTATATCACCCATTCACTCCAACAGGTAAAAACCTTAGCTAGGAGTATTTTTTACGATCCCAGATTGTGGGGATGTTACCACCTCAACCTAGCTACCAAACTCCCAAAAAAAAAAGAAAGCACTCCATATGGGAATGTATGTTACCATAGCTTACCAAACTTCCCAGAAAAAAGAATGCACTCCATATGAGCCTGAACAAAATAGAATCCTCAGATTTATTACAGACCATCAATTTGGACTGTTAGAGCTACGAGTTTAGGAACTCAAAATCCAAAGCTACTTGTATGATAATACACGAATGATGGAATGAGTAAATTTAGACAACATTAAGTCATGTCCAGAAAACTTCTAGAAAAACTTCTTTGGGAAATTTGCGAGACCCCAACTTCATGATGAACCGCGTTCATCACAGTGAACAAGCTTACAAAAAAAATCCATCAAAAAAAAAATCCACAAAATGGTCTTTTATAGGATACAGAAAATGGAGTAAATACATGATGTCATTTTCAGGAAAGGAAAAATAGCATTTGATCAAGGGCCTAGGAGGATTTGTTTGACTCCAAACTTCGATATCCCATCATTGCCATATGAAAAACTTAAGAGAAAAGGAAATTTGATTTTCAGTTCTTAAAGACCTATAACTAAAATGGAAATACTAGGTTTCCACTGAACTCTCTCTCTTTCCAAAGCAATGCATTTTCTAGGATTTTCTTGTTTTACCTTTTTCTTTTTAGAAATTGTTTCCATGGTTTAAGAGCCTGTATGTACAAGACTTAGTGTCAATTAAATTCTCCTAGGTGATTTTTAGAAATTTTTGGCTATGACATAATGCTGCCGATATTAGCTCTTCATTGGAGGCTACAAGCGTTCCCCATATACCACAATCTCAGTGTGGACAGACGGAGGACAAATATTTTTATCACAATTGTTCTAATACAATTTAGACTACACACACAGGCACGCGTACGCACACACACACACACACACACGCATGCACGCATGGACACACGCACAAACACACGCACACACACACACACACAAATACACATATACATTGGTAATGATTCTTAATTTTTAAAGGCACCCATTCCCTACTAATTTTGCTCTTCCTTCTCTATTGAAAAGAAAGCAATAATAGTTTTACGCAGAGTCACTTTGTACTATCTTTTTCAATTCTAACCATCAAATCAGCATATGATACAAGCAGCAAATGTGGCAATTACCACAGCAAGTTCAAGACAAGAACTACAATTAGACAAGTGCTGCCTCTTTACATCATGGTAGGAGCCCACAAATCACAGCCTAATAGGGATGTATCCTAAGATGCAGATACAGCTACAGATACGGACAGGTATACGACGACTATGATACCTGTCATTTCTTGAAATTTCTCGAAATCTAGGATATAGATAGCGGGAGTGTCGTATCTAATATACAAATGTAGCCAGTCCAACAAGGGAATATTTGCATCCAACATCCAACATTGATTCACATATATACCATAGCATAATGCATATCATATTTTCATTATTACGCATTTTCCTATATACAAGTACCCTAGCAGTATCTCGTACAGTATTGGTGTCAAGACAGTATGCAGCGGCATTTTAAGCATATACAAGAATTGTGCACTATTGGATGTATCATATTCATAACACATGATCTATATAGTTACACTGATTTTTTATTAGTAATTTCTTGGTACAATCTATCAGGATCTTGGGAGGGTTTTGGTTTTTGTCCAAGTATTCTTGTAGATAAGAAATTATTCTTCATATTCACTCTTAATAGAATCTATTTTTATGTCTCAAGTTGTTCATATGCACATCCAAGAGAAAGAAATGACTAGGAATCAAAAAAAAAAAACCCACACTTAGACACAAAACTGTTAGCATGATACAGATAAGCTATTCCTGACTAGACACCAAGCAAGTACTAAAAATTCCAAACTAGGTGTACAAAAGCTGTCAGTAACCATATAGAACTACTTCCTTTAGCGAAACGAATGAACAACAGCACATAAAAGAACAATTGCCAAAACCATATTACCAACCCCCCGCATATATAGAAAGAGAAAATCATACCATAATCCAATAGTGTAGTAGTCCAAACCGGAATCCACAAACTGTTCCCAATGGCAAATGGATAAACAGTAACTGTACCTGGATGGCTGGATTGGATGTCCCAGTATGCCCATTAAGGTTAATCCCCACCATCCATCGGCAAGAACAGAGAGTGGATATCCATTGGACTAAGGTATCCCAAACTCCATTGGATTATAGAATACACACCATTAGATAGAATTACAGTTGCTTCAAATGAGGTAAGGGAACAGAAGAACCAACTATTACACAATCATAAAGAAAACATACCTGAACATGACAACAAAAAAGAGAGTAAGATAAAAAGCAAGCTTCACCATTCGATACTTCTTCTCACCATTCAGCAATCTAAAGATCTCTGTCACATCAACCAAGTGCCTCCTCGCCAAATACCTGGAAGCGCATGCAAGATATGGATAAGATAGACAATCCTGCAACAAGTTCACCCAAAAAAAAAGAGAACCATCTGAATGGAATTAAGTAGAATGTCAGAAAATGAAGACAAATGTGGGTCATATTTGCAAATCTAAGCCACATACTCAACAAGAAAAACGAATTTTTCTCAAAAAAAAAAACTGCTTAAAATAATGTCTTCCCAATATAATGATATGATTAAATGTATAACGATTAAAGTTGCTTTTTACCTCTCTCCATGCCTAGTGTGTGTGTGCACGCGCATGCACGTGTGTGTGCACACGTGTGTTTGGCACTCCATGAGCCGAACTGCCTTTGAAATTGAACCTAAATCCAGTCTCGCACTCCATGTGCCTTACCGGCTTTTGTGATCTGCTTCTATGTTAAAATAGAAGCCAATCCGGCACATGGCGCTCGGGACAAGCTTCAAAATTAAAGAAAAGCCTGGTCTAGCACTTCATTGGCCGGACCAGCTTCTATGTTAAAACAGAAGGCGCTCCAACACATGGAGTGCCAGAACGACTTCAAAATTAATGAAAAACTAGTCCAGCCCTCCATGTGCCAAACCAACTTTTATGTTGAAACATAACCCAATCCAGTAAATGGAGTACCAAACTAGCTTCAAATTTAACGTAAAACCCAGCCTAGCATTCCATGTCCTGGGCCGGCTTCTATGTCTAAAAACAAAAACAAAAAAATGCCACGAGGTGAGTTTAGCAGCCCCTCTAATCAAATTTTCATTTATTTAACACAATAGCATTTTTATTTTATTTATTGATTTTTATAGTGACCCAGCTTCTCTCTCTCTCTCTCTCTCTCTCTCTCTCTCTCTCTCTCTCTCTCTCTCTCTCTCTCTCTCTC